TTTTTTGGTTTTTCTCCGGTACCAGGAACCGAACTCACGACCTTGCGCTTGCCAGGCAGGCGCTTTTGCCGCTGAGCTAAATCCCCAGCCCCCAAATACTTTTAAACTCTCAAAAATAATGTATAGGGGCTGGGGGTTTAGCTCAGCGGCACAAGCGCCTGCCTGGCAAGCACAAGGTCCTGAGTTTGATTCCTGGTACCGGAAAAAAAAAAAAAAAAAAAAAAAAAAAAAATTTATGGGCCGAGGGATATAGCTCAGTGGCACAAGCACCTGCCTGGCAAGTGAAAAGTCCTGAGTTCAATCCCTGGAACCAAAACAAACAAACAAACAAAAATGTATGAAAGTTCTAGTTCCTCCACATCCTTGGTGATGTTAGGTGTTATATTCCTTTTATGTGAGCCATTTTGGTGGATGGTATTTCATTGTGATTTTAAATTTCCATCTCCCTGATGAATAAAGATACTAACCAGGCTCGATGGTGCATACCTCTAATACCAGCTATTCAGGAGACTGAGGCAGGAGAATCACAAGTTTGAGGCCAGCCTGGGTATTTTAGTGGAGCTCCTTCCTCAAAAATAATAAATAAAAAGGACCAGGGCATAGCTTGGCAGTATTGTGCTTGGTGGCGCCCTGGGTTCAATTCCTATACTGCAAACAAAATAGCTAAGCACCTTCTTGTGTGTTTCTTGGCCATTCTTTTTTTTTACTGGAGTTTTTAAATTGTTGGTTTATTAATAACTATATATTCTACATATAAGCCTATTATCATTAAGTCTTGTGTTTTTTCCTAGACTGTAATTTCTCTTTTTTTTTTTTTTTTTTTTTTGGAGACAGGGTCTCAACCTCCCAAGTGCTGGGATTACAGGTGTGTGCCACTATGCCTGCCTCATTTTCTTCATGGAGAATTTTTTTTTCCTTTTTTTGTTTCATGGAAAATTTTGACTAGTTGAAAATTTTTCTTCTTTTTTTTTTTTTTCTTTTTGAAACAAGGTCTTGGTATGTAGTTCTGGCTGGCCTTGAACTTATTGTGTAGCCCAGGCTCGCCTTAAACTTGGGACAGTGCTCCTGCCTCAGCCTCCCAAGTGCTGGGATTATAGGTGTGCCCTACCATGCCAGGTGAAAATTTTTCTTTATTGATGTCCTATCCAAGAAATCTTTGGGATTTCCTGTTTCCTGTGATACCTTGGTTTGTAGTCTAAAGCCATAAAGATCTCCGGCATGCTAGGAGGCCTTCTCATGCTTTTTGTGTCTATTCATGGTTTGATAATAGATCACCAATGGGGTGGTGTTATACCAAAAGTTCTGTCGCATTTGAACCAGTGTTTTTAAATATTGGAGGTCATATCCAGTGGCATGTGCTATCCAAGACAGTTTTTATTCAGCTTTGCACAAAGACAGATAGAAAATAATAGTGGTACATCTGAGGAAACAACTGAAGGGCCAGTGTCAAAGAAAGACTCAACATCATCTCAATAACATCTCAAGTGGAAAATTTGGGGACCCATCCCAGAGTGTCATTTGGGAGCAGTTATCATTGTAATGCTTTTAATGTCATAGAACTAGTGCTAATAAATGGGAGCAAATACACTGAATCTAAAAGATGCAGTCTTATAAATTTGTAAACTCTAAAATACACGTCTGTAGTTAAAGCTGCAGGCTAAATTATTTTTATGATTTATCTTGATATGCTGGATGAGAGGAAAAGTGACAAAATAGAAAGGATTAGGAGCTGGGTGTTGTGGTGCACCCCTGTATTTCAGCACTTGGGAGATTGAGGCGGGAGGATCAACTTGAATTTGAGGCCAGTCTGGGCTATATAGTGAGTTTGAGGCAAGCTTGAACTGCACAGTGAGACCCTGTCTCAAACTTCACCCCGTAAAAAAAGGGTTAGGAAGGCAAAGATGTAAAATGTTTTAATATTGTTTAGTAGGGTATTAATTATTTCCATTTAAGGGCTGGATATATCCCTGGCCCTATACATGATTTTTCTAAGTCCTCAGTAGTAGGAGTAAGCTATATGGCTCTCATGGGCTAATGTAGGCAAGGCCTGGGTGCTATACTTAAGGCAAGAGCCAGGGAATCACCAGCCCATTACAGCTGAGGAGAAACCAGAAGATTCAGAAAGCAGTAGGTCACCAAAGTGAGGTGGTCAGAACAGGCCAAGAATGACTTATAAGGCTAAAAAAAAGGACTTGAGGACCGGGGATGTAGCTCAGTGGCATAAGTGCCTGCCTGGCAAGCACAAGGTCCTGAGTTCTGAGTTCGATTCTTGGTACCCAAAAAAAAAAAAAAAGGGACTCGAGCTGAATAGACCCAAGTGAATCCATTCCGGTGATTGTGCTGTGTTATAGAACAGCATTGGCTTTGAAGCTGAACAGACTTAGAGTTTCTATGAGATATTAGGAAAATAACATACTCTTTAAGCTTTGGCTTCTTTTTTAGCCAAGTGATCATGAAGTTTACATAAAATGTTTTATATAAAATGCCTAGACTGGAACAGGTATTCAAAAAATGTTAATTCCCTTCACTGCCTTCATACCTGGATGGAAAATTGCTTCAGGAAGTCAGTCTCCTTTCCTGGAGAAATGAAGCTAGCTAGGCTGGGAGCAGGTCAGTGCAACAACACAAGCTAACCGTCCCTGGTGTATCCTCCTTGTGTGCACCTGATGCTTTGGTCATCTGCTCCCTATAATTTCAGCTATTTACCTGAGGGTCCATGATGTTTAGCTATACCTTCTTTTTTTTTTTTTTTTTTGTCTTTTTGAGACAGGGTCTTGCTATGCAGTTCAGGCTGGCCATGAATTCACTTTTTTGCCCAGGTTGGCCTCGCACTTGCAATGATCCACCTGCCTCAGCCTCCCATCCTTCTGCCTCAGCCTCCCAAGTGCTGTGATTACAGGCGTGTACCACCACTCCCGGCTTAGCTATATCTTCTTGTTTCCAGTCTTTCAGTTACCCCGACCAGCATGTCAGATTTAACTATGACTAAGCAATCTCTTCTTTTTTTGTAACAAGGTCTTGATGTATAGTCCAGGCTGGCCTTGAACTCACAGGAATCCTACTGCCTCAGCCTTCCAAGTGTTGGAGTTATAGGCATGTCATTTACTTTTTGATCTAAGAACTATAGTCTCTGGCCCTGTCTCTGTTCTTTGGCAGCAAGGGTTTTTCAGTGCTCTTGTCAGTCCCAAATTCCATGTCAATTATTATGGAGAAAGCAGGAGTAACTCCACATGTCCCTGCTTAGTAAGCTTTGTTTTGAATAAACACACCCTACTTTTATGAGCTTGTAATTGAAGGTAGCAAGATGATTGCTACTCAAACTAAATATAGATCATGAAGTTTTTGTATTATGAGAATTTCTAAAAATAGTGTTAACCTTTGGATTTTTGCCCTTTCTTGTTTAAAACTGTCTTCATAAACCCTTCTTTTCCCTTTTATTGCAATAGGGAATCCATTACTTGTTGAGAGGCTTCCCTTAATGTTGTCTTTTTTGAAGGGGGGATACTGGGAATTGAACTGCGGACCTTGCATTTGCCAGGCAGGCACTGTGTCACTGAGCTATATCCCTGGCCCCTTAATGTTGTCTTATAAGCTGGACACTACTGAGAATTCTCCTTTGCTTGAAAGATGAGAAAGAAGAAGTGGACAGCATTGCTGCTGAGCTGCATCTACAACCATGGGGTCACTAGGAGCACCAGGAATCTCCCGCTGGGCTCCAGATTCATTAGGTTGTGTGCCATCAGGTTTTCTTCCTTATATGGAATTTTATTGCTCCTTAGAAGAAAAACATGTTCAGACAGTACTGTAGTTCTAAGAAGTCAGACTTAGCCACAGTCCCTTTGACATACAACACCCCAGGCCTTTCCTAAGATGGATTTAAAATTCTTTCAGAATCAAATTCTTCACAGGAATAGGTGATTCATTAATTATACTCTGTGAAGAGAAAGGATCTCAAGTTAATGCCTACAACCTAAATGAACTGGTGCAGATTTAAATTTTGGAAGACCTAAAACATATTCAAGAACATTCAGTCTTAAAATGAAGGGAGATATTTTCAAATGACCTAACCAATGTAAGGAGATTTGCAACGTTAGTCCCTTCAATTATCTGTCCCAATTCAATGGTCTGTGGCCTAGGTAAGTTATTTTGCCACTCTCCAGTTTCCTGCATCTTTCTTGGCTTCATATTACCTTTCTACTTAATTCAAACTCCTATATGTGTTGGTCTGAGTGCCAGTTATGGAAATGGAAAATATTTATTCCAAGAAATTCTGTGATGTTACCACCACATCTGTGTAGATGGTCATATATTTCTATACTGATAATCTACCTGACACCCACAAGTTAAAGGAGGAAAGGTTTACTTTGGCTCAGTATGTAGAGGTTTCAATCCATAGTCAGCTGACTCCAAGGCAGGTTGGCATGGCAGAGGGGAGTCACAGAGGAGAAACAGTTCGTGGCAGAGCAGGCAGGAGGCAGTGAAGCAAAAGTAGTGTTATGGCTGTGTCTAGATGTCCCTCCAAAGCCACATACAATCATAGGGGGGGCTTTTTCAGAGGAGGCTGGATCTAGAGTATATGACACTGTGATTGATTCATGGTGTAATGCTAAGATTAAGGATATGTGTGCTATCCACCCTCAGTAGCCTGGATACAATATACGGGATAGAAAGAGCTGTGATTGTCCCTTATTGCTTTGCTACCTTCTGCCCACTGGGGTTGTAGCTCAGTGGTAGACTGCTCACATGCCGGAGGCCCAGGGTTCAAACCCCAGTGCAGGAAAAAAAGATAGATTTCAGTGGACCAAGTCTTAGGATAATACACTGGAATGCTGTGGAGAGAAATAACTCTCTGTATGTATTTTAAGTACATGCCCAATAGTTTTGTGTGTGTGAGGTTTTTTTATTAACCACTTCAAATATAAAGATCTGTGTTGGTCTTTCATTTCTGTAACAAAATACTTGAGAAAAACAACTTATGAAGAGAAAAGATTTATTTTGAGTCATAGTTTCAGAGGTTTCAGTCCATGGTTGGCTCCATTGTTTTTGGTCCTGTGGTGAGGCAGACACTCATGGTGGGAAGCATATGGTAGAGCAAAGCCACTCATCTTATAGACTGCTAGGAATAAAGAAAGAAGAGGGGCGAGGGTCATGATATCTCCTTCAAGATTGTGCTCCCAGTGACCTAACTTCTTTGACCAGACCCCACCTCCTTAAGGCTCGTCCACAGGCCCTCCACCACCTGGGGCTTTGGTGTACTTTCAAGATCCAAACTGTAGCAGCACCCTAATGCTTCTTTAGTTACCCCTAAGTATAAACTTGAAATCAAAACAAGAAATAAATTGAACTAAAAAAGATTTCTTAGTGTGGCTTTTGTTGTTTTAATTGGATTCATACAGTAAGGCCATGACCCAGTTTGAGAGTGTGTGTGCATGAAGAACAGTTTTATTAGACTACACGTTATTGTGTGAGGACAGGAACCCGTTAGCACATTGTTTTGTTCACAGCATGGTTGTGAAGTGTTTGATGAATGAGATCTATCTTTTGTCTTTTCTTTAAATTTGGGACAGGACGGTCACCAAGAGTTCAAGGCCAGCCTGGAGCACATAATTGAGTACAAGACCAGCCTGAATTTCATAGCAAGAACCTGTGTCCAAAAACAAAAACAAAACAAAGCAAAACAAAAAACCCCAAAATATATGTGTGTGTGTATATGTATGTATACACACACACACACACACACACACACACACACTTTTATCCATTCTGTCTTAAAGTTTGTGGAGTCTGTGTTTTAGTGAGGATTGCAAGCTCTGTTTTAAGGCAAGGTTTTATAATTTGGGGAGTACTTTCCTTTTTGTATACTTGCTTTGTATCTCTTTAATAACAGCCAAGACTATCTTTTATGACATCTGATAACTTGTAACTGATATCAGCAACCTTCCAAAAATCACTGCTTTTTTGTCCTGAACCCTACATTTTACCTTTCCTAGCTACTTACATTTCTCTAAATGTTTCATTTTCCTCCTGCCTTTGTGTCTTTGCCTCTATGGTGTGAACTAAGCCAAGCATGCCCATTTCGACCTTCTCCACCTGGAGCACTTCTTCCTGTCTTTCAGTGATCAAGATCTCCAATATGAAACTTTTCCTGGCTGACTCTACCATACTCCCGCTTCCAAAACTGAGCCCTCTTTTGTGTTACCTTTTTACTTTGTTTGATGTGTTTTATATATATTTCTGTAGTAGTGCTTATGTTAGTTATAATTGTTTATTAGTAAAATATAGTAATAGTTACATGCTTGATTTTTCTCTTCACTGTTTGTTGGCAGAGTGACAAATGACAAGTGTCCCTTTTACCTTCTGTAAGACCTCAACTTCCTCACTGAAAATGGGAGTAGTAATGCACTCATTTCATAAAGTTGTTGTGAGATTAAATGGAATTGTATTTATAAAACAAAGCACTCTTAGCCAGGCATGGTGGTACATACCTATAATCCCAGCAGTTGGGAGGCCAAGGCAGGAGGATCACTGAAGTTTGAGGCCAGCCTTGGCTTTATAGTGAGTTTAAGGCCAGCCTGAACTACATAGTTAGATCCTGTCTCAATCTCTTCTCGGCCTTTTGGCTAAGATCAAGTATAGATCCTATCTCAAAAAAAACCAGAAATGGGGAGACAGTCACTTTGGTATATATTGAACAGTAAATGAACAATGGATGGACCGGGGATGTAGCTCAGTGGCATAAGCCTGAGGTTATGAGTTCAATTCCCAGAACAAAAATAAATAAAGAAAGAAATAAAGAAATAATGGAAGTGGAGATTGTGTTCCAGCAGAATCATTGTCTGGTGAGGGCTTGTTCTCCCCTCTCCCTGTACTGAGGATTGTAACTTGGGCCTTCAAACTGAGCTACATCCCCAGTCCTTTTAAATTTTTTATTTATTTTTATGAGTATTAGTGATATATAATAAGTATAGTCATCCTGAGGAATTGATGCATATACATATTGCATCTTTTATTTTTTAGGCAGGACCTTCCAGAGTCACTAAATTGCCCGGGCTGGGCTTAAGTTTGAGATCCTCCTGCCTCAGCTTCCCAGAGTGCTGGGATTACAGGCATGCACCACCATGTCCAGCCACGTCTTTTATAAAGTCATCAGTCTCATTCTTAAAGGCTCTCTGATCATGACTCAATCACCTCCTAAAGGACTCCACTGTTTAATACTCTCAAGTTGGTGATTAAGGTTCAATGTATAAATTTTGGAGTACATATTCAGACCATCTAACGCACACATAGAAAAGGGAGATGTTGCCTATCAGAGAGCCATATATGGATAGGTTCTACTCATTCTAGGCATCTCCTTGCACTGTTGCTGGGATAGTGTTTGTTTAGCGCTCTTCTACTTTAAGGATTTCTGCCAAAAATAAAAAATAAACATAATTGTAAATTTTTTGTTTATTTTTGTCTTTGTTTGTTTTTCTCCTGTACCGGGAACCGAACTCACGACCTTGTGCTTGCCAGGCAGGCGCTTTTGCCGCTGAGCTAAATCCCCAGCCCTATTTTTGTCTTTTTAAGATAGGATCTTACTATGCAGTTCAGGCTGGCCTTGAGCTCACTTTGTAGCCCAGGCTAGCCTTAAACTCACAACGATTCTCCTGCTTCAGCTTCCCAAGTGGTAGGATTACAGATGTGTGCCACCATGCTTAGCTTTTTTTTTTTTCATGTTCTTGAAGCATGAGTTAAAATTAAAATACTCACTTACTCTCAGACCTGGCGAGATTATCATATTAATCTTAGATAAGACATGACTATTTCTGTTTTTAACCATAAAGACCCAGTAAGCAAGTCTGAGTCCTGACTCCATTTATAATGACTGTTGATTAATCTGTACATATGGTGCTTTGTAGTTTATGTTATCTTAAAACATCAAATTAAAGATGGGGATGTTTTCAGGACTCAGTTCAAAAAGGTTTTTAGCCATGGCTTTGCCACAAATAGACTTAGAAGCTGTTTTCTAATTTCTGTGAGCTTCAGTTTTCTTGGGTGTCAGTTTATATATCTTTAAAAATGAACATGTTGGACTGAATTATCACTAATCCCTCTAGCTCTAAAAAAAGGTATCAATTCCGAGATCAGTCTTTGTCCATAGAGCACTCTGGTGTGTGTGTGTGTGTGTGTGTATGTGTATGTGTGTGTGTCTGTACATGTAGGGTGCTGAATATAATACATTTTAAATTCATAATTTTTATTAATTGTATCTAAATATGGTAATTTATGAGGCTACATCTAGTGTAGCTCTATAAATCATATATACAATGATAAATCTTTCTCTTTTCCCAGAATAATCTCCCAAAAAAAGAGGAGGATATTGCATGCATAAGGATAAATATAATCTCAGGATAAGCACTCTTACTGATTATGGGAAGCTAATCTTAACATAAATTGGCTGTCATTTGCAAGGGCAAACTTCCACATATCCAAAGCTGCTCGTTAGTGTCACTTTAATATTATTTGTCAAGAATATTGATCATGGATTTTTGGAATTAAATTTAGATGCCTCTAGAATGACATTGGTTGTGTCAAAACATGGGTGGTTTATTATTCTGATACCTCAAATTTACTCTGGCTCATTAAGAATTAAGAAAATAAAAAAAAAATTATAATGTTTGGGGATGCAGGAATACTAGGAATTGAACTCAGGACCTCAAATTGAGTTTACATCCCAGCCCTTGTTATTTTTTATCTTAACACTTGATCTTGCTAGGCTGGCCTCTAACTTGTGATCCTTCTGCCTCAGCCTGTGGAGTAGCTGAGATTATAGGAATGTATAACTCCACCCAGCTATGATCATCTTTTAGGAAACAGGGTATTATGGATTAAACTATTTTTATGCCTAGTAAGAAGCAGGAAAACATATAAATTTACATATTCCAGAAATAGGCATTGACATTTCCTAACTTGCAACTCTATTGTAATTTCTTTTTTTTTTTTTTTTTTTTTTTTTTATCTGATACGGGGAATCGAACTCATGACCCTGTGCTTGCCAGGCAGGCGCTGTGCCACTGAGCTAAATCCCCAGCCCCTATTGTAATTTCTTAGTAAACAACTTCTTAGCATACTGATAATGAAAATATGAGTCTAATGAACATTTAGATGGATTAAATAAGTAGTATAATTTAGATATATATAGTCAAAAGAATAGATGTATATAATCATAGTATGTGATAGGAAGGCTCAAAAATGAAAGGTTGCTTAACTTTCTTTTTAAAGTAATGTGAAGTAGGATCTATCTGCCTAACAGATTTTTAATTATTTGAAAATGTGCATTTTAATGAGTATTTTAAACTCTTTTTTCATTCATCATTCCTCCTAAGAGTTTTTAAGGAGACATGTCTTTCAAATATGAATTTTTTATGTATCTACCTGTTTATCTGTTTTTTTGATGGTTTGAGACAGAGTCTCGGCTTTGTAGTGCAGGCTGGCCTTGAGCTTGCTATGTAGCCTAGACTGGTCCCAAACCAATGGTGATCCTCCTGCCTCAGCCTCCCAAGTGCTGGCAGGATAGGTGTACACCATTACTCCTGGCTTCAAGTATAAATTTATTTTTTTTTTCCCGGTACTGGGAATCGAACTCATGACCTCGCGCTTGCCAGGCAGGCACTGTGCCACTGAGCTAAATTCCCAGCCCCAAGTATAAAATTTTTAAAGTTGCTTAGCATGTACAAGGCCCTGGATTCAAACCTCAGCTCAGAAAGAAGTTATTATATATATTTCCTGGGTCTAGTATGAATTTTTTTACAATAAAACTAGCATGATGGCAATAATATGCTACCTACCATGTAGGTAGCATAAAACATGTACTGTAATTAAAATTGACATACTGAAAGCCTGATGAGGTGGTGCACACCTGTAATTCCAGCACTTGGGAATCTGAGCAAGAGGATCACGAGTTCAAGACCATCTTTGAGTACATAATGAGACTACATCTCAGGGGCGGGTTGACATTGACATTGGTTCAGCTTGATCCATGTATATGGATATGTATACATATGGTATATGTATACCCTTTCTTGTCCCATTTAAATTGGAGCTATAGCCACTAAAGGCAGCTTTTAAAAAGCAATTTTAGCCGTTTGTGGTAGCACACACCTGTAATCCCAGCACTCGGGAGGCAGAGGCAGAAAGATTGTTTCGAGTTCGAGTCCATCCTGAACTACAAAGTGAGTTCAAGGCCAGCCTGAACTGCATAGTGAGATCATGTCTCAAACACACACACACACAAAGACAGAAGATTCTTCATTCAATTTATATTTTAAAAATATTGGTCAGATGTCCTAGGCACTGAACTTGGATTTGGAAAACAAAGATGGCTAGAACACCCATAGTAGCAGAGCACCCAAATGCTTTATATGAATTATTTAATTGCCAAACCAGTCTATTACTATTTAATCCTTCTTTTATAAAGGGAGAAATTGAGATTTGAAAATTAGGTAAAGTAGTTAAGGCCACTGAGCAGTTCTGTGAATAGAAGAACCCAGCCGTACCTGATACAAGAGCTGGCATTCATAACCAAAATGCTGTCTTCCATGTATGCTGCAAGTGTTCAGTCCTGGGAACACAAAATGGTAGACTTTGGAGAGGGAAAAGGACATTCCAGGTACATGGATCACAGTGAGTTAAGGCCCAGTGATAGAAGTAAAACTGCAGTGGCAGAGATCCAGGTTGCTGGAGCAAGGAAGAAGTGCAAAGAAATGAAGCTGAAAAAGTTACCAGGAGCATTTATGCCATGCTAAGGAATTTGAACTTTTTTCCTCTAGGCAAAGTAAAAGGTTTTTAAGAAGGAGAGTACTTAATTAAGTTAGAACTGTGCTTTAGAAGTTGAACTGATGCCCATGTGGGAGGTGAACTAGGAAGAGCAGTCTGGCAACTGGAAGGCGATTCTGAGAAGTAATGAGTGGCAGTGGAAATGGAGAACAGAGCAGAAACATTTTCAAGAAAGCTAGTGACACTTCTTGATCTAGTATCTGTGTTCACATCTGAATAGCTAGTATAGACAAAAGAGCTAAAGGTAACGCTGGGTTTCTAATTTAGGCAACTGGTGATACCATTAACTACACTGAGTAATTTGGAAACGAGAACGTGTGACATGGGGGAGGTCAATTGGGCTTTGGGCACCATATTTGTTAGAAGTGCAGTTAGTTGCAAGCAGAAGACAATCCAACTAAGAATGGCTTATGCAACAAGTAATTTGTTTTTACCTCAAATTTTAAGAGGCCTGAAATAAGCTCTTTTAACCATTTACCAGTCCAATTATTTAAATACAGGGTGACCAAAAATTGCACATTTTTTTGTTAATTTCTATAAATTCCAAAAGCATATTTTCAACAACAGCTTCATCAAATTTATTCGGTGTAAGAACCAACTGGTTGAAATGACACCTGTCCAAGCAATGTTCAGGGTAAACTGTTAAAAGGTTAAAGGACTTTGTGATGTCATGTTTGTTCTGTTATTTGTAATAAATTTGTTATCTCATATTTGCTGCTCCTGACATAACATAAAATGGCCTTAAAACATAAATCCAAGGCAGAAATAAGAGGAAAGAAGAGTTATTGGTTGTATGTGTTCTCTTTATCATGAAAAGCTTTACCAAATGCTCCTAGCAGATTTCATCTTACATCTTGATGGCCAGAACTGAATCACATGGTCACCAGTAACTGCAAGGGAGGTTGGAGAAGTAAATATTTATCTTTAGTGGGAGAGGGAGGGTGGGGGTGGGTGCCAGGTTGGCTAGTCAAGTGACTGTTATAGATACACAGAGTTTGCGGTACCTATAAGACTTGAGGTCAGAATTAGGAGCTTTCATTATGTAGCCCTGAATACCCTATTGTGAGTCACAGTTACAGCTGTAATTAGTTGATATTAGGAAGAATTAAATGACCTAATGAAAATTAAGTCAGGTGTGGTGCTGCACACCTGTAATACAGCATGGGGGAGGCTGAGGCAAGAGGATTGTTGCAAGTTCAAGGCCAGTCTGGGCTACATAGTGAGACCTTGTCTCAAAAAACCAAGAGGATTGTTGCAAGTTCAAGGCCAGTCTGGGCTACATAGTGAGACCTTGTCTCAAAAAACCAAAACATACGAAAGAAAGAAAGAAAGAAAGAAAGAAAGAAAGAAAGAAAAAGAAAGAGAAAGAGAGAGAGAAAGGAAGGAAGAGAAAGAAAAAAGGAAGAAAGAAAGGAAAAAAGAAAAAAGGAAGGGAAGGGAAGGAAGGAAGAAAGGAAAAAGAAAAAAGGAAAAGAAAAGAAAAAGTTGAGCAGGAGCTGGGCCATCATGGAGGAGCTGGGGAGTTGGGAGATCATAGTTTATGTTAGTGTCACTGGAGATAAATCAACTCAAGAAGTATTGTGATACGCCTTTGGAACTATGAGCAGTCCTGCAAAGGCAGAACAAGTAGTAGTATTGCAATATGTGATAGAGAGACTCAAGAGCATGTCATTCATGTCAATATACCAGTCATTACTGTGTAGATGATTATAATACAAAACTAGATATAAGTAATTTGCTTAGGATCAGGTAGCAATTCAGTAATAGAGCAGGGTTGGGACAACTTGAGACAGTGAATAACATGTTTTTAGTTACATTTGAAAGGCTCCAGCCAGGTGTACAGCACACGCCTGTAAGCTGAACACAAATTGGGAGGCTAAGACAGGAGAATTTAGAGTTTAAGGCTAGCCTGGGCAATTTAGCAATTTAGCCAGACCCTATCTCAAAAAAGGTAGAGGGCTCTCTTATTTGTATACAAGTTTTATCAGTTATTTAATAGTTCATATCTAATAGTCATATAAACCAACTTTTGTATTTTTCATTTTGTTTTTTGAAACAGGTCTTGCTATGTAATTTAGGCTAGCCTTGAGCTCACAGTGATTCTCCTACCTTTGACTCACTAATGCTAGGATTACAGGTGTGTACCACCACATACAGTCTTTTTTGTGTGTGTTTGTCTTTTGAGACAGGGTCTCACTATGCAGTTCGGGCTGGCCTTTAGCTCACTTGTAGCCTGGGCTGGTCTCAAACTCATAAGGATCATCCTGCCTCAGCCTCTGCAGTGCTGGGATTACAGGCATGTGCCACCACGCCCGGCACCACATCCAGTCTTACTTAAACTTTTTAATGTTGTTTTTTTGTTTGTATTGTTTTGTCATTGTTCCAGTTGTTCACAGTCCAGGGCCATACTATGCAAGTGCTCTACCACTCAGCTACATTCCCAGCCCCTCTTGATGGTTTTATATAAGCATTTAGAAAACACGTATTTTTGTTGCAGGAAAAATTTTAACATTAGATTTACTGAGGCGCAATTCCCATATACCAGCATCCACCTATTTTTTTTTTTTTTTTTTTTTTTAAGTACTGGGAATCATCTACCCTTTTTAGTTGTATATTTCTTTTGGTTTTGATAAGTGTACACAACCTATACAAGGCTTAAAAATGGGATCATGATCAAGATACAGAATATTTCCATCACCCTCAAAAGTTACCCTATGTTTCCTTTAGTTCTTTTCTCCCATCTCCAGCCACTATTCTGTTTTCTCTTTGTAGTTTATCTTTTTTAGATTGTTGTGTGTGTGTAGCTTTTCCCCGCTGCAGTACTAGGTACTGAACCCAGGGCCTTGCACTGAGCTACATCCTCAGCCCTTGTTTTTTGTTTTTACTTTTTATTTTGAGACAGTCTCACTGTGTTCCCCAGGCTGGCCTCATACTTGCCATCCTTCTGTTTCAGCTTCCTGAGTGAGTAGCTGGAATTACAGGCATGCACTGTCACACCAAGCAGCTTTTGTTTTTATTATCACTTAGTGAAGAAAATTAATAAGACATTATCAGTTAATGGCTATTTGAGGCAAACTGAGCAAGATATTGCACTGTAACTTAACATTAAATACTTGATTTCTGTTAACTCTGAGAGTTCTCATTTTACTACAGCGATTTTCTCAGTCATGTGTTACCTAAGAATGAAGGGGAAGCCAGGCATGGTGGTGCACGCCTGGAATCCCAGCACTCGGAGGCTGAGGTAGGAGGATCAGCCACCAGTTCAAGGCCAGCCTGGACTACATAGGGAGCCCCTGTTTCATAAAAC